TAGGACAGTCTGTTAGGTAGGTCAGTTACGGGCAGTTTGGACAGTGCATTAGGTCAGGGTTTTAGGTCAGTTTCAGTAAACTAGGAAAGGGTGGTAGGTCAGTTAAGGTCACTTAGGACACTTAGGACCATTAGGATAGATAGGACCGTGTGTTGAGTCAGGGTTTTAGATCACTTACATTCAGTTAGAACAGTTAGGACCATTAGGACAGTTAGGATAGTGTGTTGGGGAAGGGTGTTAGGTCATGTATGGTCAGTTAGGACAGTTATGACAGGCACGTTAGCACAGTGAGGACAGTGTGTTGGGTCAGGGCATTAGGTCAGTTATGATCAGTTAGGACAGTGTGTTGTGTCAGGGAGTTAGGTCAGTTATGGTCAGTTAGGACAGTGTGTTGGGTGAGGGCGTTAGGTGAGTTATGGTCAGGACAGTTAGGAGAGTTAGGACTGTTAGGACAGTTAGGACAGTGTGTTGGGTCAGGCTGTTACATCAGTTATGGTCAGTTAGGACAGTTATTACAGTTAGGACAGTTAGACAGTTAGGACAGTTAGGACTGTTAGGACAGTTATTACAGTTAGGACAGTTAGGACAGTTAGGAGACTTAGGACAGTTAGGAAAGGACAGTGTGTTGGGTCATGGTCATGGTGTTAGGTCAGTTACTGTCAGTTAGGATATTTAGGACAGTTAGGAGAGTTTGTACAGGATAGTTAGAACAGTGTGTTGGGTCAGGGTGTTAGGTCAGTTACGGTCAGTTAGAACAGTTAGGACAGTTAGGAACGTTAGGAGAGTTAGGACAGTGTGTTGGGGCAAGGTGTTAGGTCAGTTACAGTCAGTTAGGACAGTGTGTTGTTTCAGGGAGTTAGGTCAGTTACGGTCGGTTAGGACAGTGTATTGGGTGAGGGTGTTAGGTCAGTTACGGTCAGTTAGGACAGTTAGGACAGTTAGGACATTTAGAAGAGTTACGTCAGTGTGTTGGGTCAGGATTTTAGGTCAGTTACTGTCAGGACAGTTAGGACAGTTAGGAGAGTTAGGACAGTTAGGACAGTGTGTTGGGTCAGGGCGTTAGGTCAGTTTCGGTCAGTTAGGACTGTTAGGACATTTAAGACAGCTAGGAGAGTTAGGACAGTGTGTTGGGTCAGGTAGTTAGGTCAGTTACGGTTAAGACAGTTAGGACAGTTAGGACAGTTATGAGAGTTAGGACAGTTATGAAAGCGTGTTTGGTAGGGTGTTAAGTCAGTTACGGTCAGTTAGGACAGGGTGTTGGGTCAGGGTGTTAGGTCAGTTAAGGCCAGTTAGAACAGTGATTTGTTTGATCTGAGTTCTAGGTCAGCTACGGTCAGTTAGGACAGTGTGTTGGGTAAGGGTGTTAGGTCAGTTACGGTCAGTAAGGTCAATTAAAACAGGACAGTTAGGACAGTTATTGTGTTGACCCAGGATGGTAGGTCAGTTACGGACAGCTACGACAGTTAGGACGGTTAGGAGCATTAGGACAGTTAGGAGAGTGTATTGGGTCAGGGTGTTAGGTCAGTCATGGTCAATTAGGACAGTGTGTTGGGTCAGGGTGTTAGGTCAGTTACGGTCAGTTAGGACAGTGTGTTGTGTCAGGGCGTTACGTCAGTTACAGTCAGTTAGGACTGTGTTACTAGGTCAGTTACTGTCTGTTAGGACAGTGTGTTGGTTTAGGTTGTTATGTCAATTACAGTCAGTTAGGACACTTAGGACATTTAGGAGCATTAGGACACTTAGGACAGTGTGTTGACTCAGCGTGTTAGGTCAGTTACAGTGAGTTAGGACAGTTAGGACAGTGTGTTGGTTGAGGGTATTAGGTCAGTTATGGTCAGTTAGGACAGTTAGGACTGTTAAGACAGTTAGGAACGTTGGGACAGTTAGGACAGTTAGGAGCATTAGGACAGTTAGGACAGTGTGTTGGTTGAGGGTATTAGGTCAGTTACGGTCAGTTAGGACAGTTAGGACAATTAGGACAGTTAGGAGCATTAGGAAAGGCAGGACAGTGTGTTGGGTCAGGGTGTTAGGTCAGTTACAGTCACTTAGGACAGTGTGTTGGGTCAGGGTGCTAGGTCAGTTATGGTCAGTAAGAACACTGTGTTAGGTATGTCAGTTACTGTGTGTTAGGACAGTGTGTTGGTTGGGGGTATTAGGTCAGTTACGTCAGTTAAGACAATTAAGACAGTTAGGACAGTTAGGAGACTTAGGACAGGCAGGACAGTGTGTTGGGTCAGGATTTTAGGTCAGTTACAGTCCATTACAACAGGGTGTAAGTTCAGTTACGGTCAGTTAGGACATTTAGGACTGTTAGGACAGTTAGGACAGTTAGGACAATGTGTTGTGTCACAGTGATAGGTCAGTTATGGTCAATTAGGACAGTGTGTTCGATAAGGTGTTCGATAAGTGTTCAATAAGGGTGTTAGGTCAGTTACTGTCAGTTAGGACAGTTAGGACAGTTAGGAGAGTTGGGAGAGTTAGGACAGTTAGGACAGTGTGTTCGGTCATGGTGTCATGTCAGTTACAGTCAGATCAGTTACGGTCTGTTAGGGCAATTAGGACAGTTAAGACAGTAAGGACAATTAGGACCGTTAGGACACTGTGTTGGTTGAGGTTATTAGGTCAGTTACGGTCAGTTAGGACAGTTAGGACTGTCAGGACAGTTAGGATAGTTAGGAGCTTTATGACAGTTGGGACAATGTGTTGGTTCAGGATGTTAGGTCAGTTACAGTCAGTTAGGACAGTTTGTTGGGTCAGGGTGTTAGGTCACTTATGATCAGTTAGGACAGTATGTTAAGTAGGTCATTTACTATCTGTTAGGACAGTGTGTTGGTTGAGGGTGTTAGGTCACTTATGGTCAGTTAGGACAGTTAGGATGTTAGGACAGTTAGGAGCATTAGGACATTTAAGACAGTGTCTTGACTCAGGGTGTTAGGTCAGTTATGATCACTTAGGACAGTTAGGACAGTTATGAGCATTAGTCCAGTTAGGACAGTGTGTTGACTCAGGATGTTATTTCAGTTACGATCAGTTAGGATAGTTAGGACAGTTAGGACAGTTAAGACAGTTCGGACAGTGTGTTGGTTGAGGGTATTAGGTCAGTTATGGTCAGTTAGGACAATTAGGACCGTTAGGACATTTAGGAAAGTTAGGACAGTTAGGGTAATGTGTTGGTTCAGGATATTAGGTCAGTTACAGTCAGTTATGACAGTTAGGACTGTTAGGACAGGTTGGACAGTTAGGACAGTTAGGACAGTGTATTGGTTGAGGTTATTTAGTCAGTTATGGTCAGTTACGGTCTGTTAGGACTGTTAGTACAGTTAGGACAGTCAGGACAGTTTGGAAAGTTACCACAGTTAGGACAATATGTTGAGTCAGGATGTTAGGTCAGTTACAGTCAGGACAGCATGTTGGGTCAGGGTGTTAGGTCAGTTACCGTCAGTTAAGACAGTTAGGATAGTTAGGACTGTGTGTTAGGTCAGGGTGTTATATCTGTTACGGTCTGTTAGTACAGTGTGTTGGGTCAGGGTGTTAGGTCAGTTACCATCAATTAGGACCGTTAGGACAGTTAGGACATTTAGGACAGTTAGGAGAATTAGGACATTTAAGACAGTGTGTTCAGTCAGGATATTAAGTCACTTACCGTCAGTTAGGACAGTGTCTGATGCCCTCCAAGACCACCAGGCTTGGAGCTCCAACAAGATAGGAATCAAGACATGAGTCTTGATGTTATTGCAATAAGTTTATTTAAAGATAGACTCTTAACAATCAAGCAAGTATAGGCACAATCATAAAATGAATCTAATGTGAGTTACATAGAGATTATATAGGAAACAGATCTGGAGTAACCAAGAAGTAACCAAGGAATCACTAAGGATACATTACTAACAGAAAGTAACTAAGGATGCAGCACATAACTGCATCACGTCAGCATCACCTGATACTCACATGATAGTTACAGATACATAATATTTACAATCTCTTGGATACAATGTGTATTGCCTATGATCACTCTTGACAGCTACTAGAATTTATGATTTTTATATAGAAACCAAGTAAACAGTGATGAGAGACTCCACTGCCCTTAAACTGAAACAAAACTCTTTAGTTATGTTTTCAAGATAACCAATTAATCAAGAAGGCATAGCCTGTCAACTCCATCCGCTGAAGCAAAGAGCAGAGAAGCTCTTAAAGTGCCAGTCTTCTTTTCGTCTATGCTTAAGTCAAGCATGGCTCCTCACATTTCCCCCTTTCTTTTTATATTTTTAAGATTTAGAAAAACGCCAAGACTGGGATGGAAAGACCGTGCCTGTCTTAGGTTGTCCTCTACCAGAGCAAAAGCCATTGGTTGATCGGCCAGCGATCTGCTTCACTCTGAGAAGATCTTACCCATCACTGGCTAACCAGCCTCCAAGAAGCTCCCGTCATTGGCCACGGCCATGGGGAAGAAATGGGAAAATCTCCTTCAAAAAATATTTTTCAAAGTATTTTCAAAGCTGTTGGAATCTTCTTGCTACTGTTATGTAAAACTGAGTCAATCAGGCCAAAGTCCCCCTTTTGTTTATAGTAAAATAAAAACAGGAAAACCGGCAGAAACTCAGCACCACATGTGTAAAGATGTCAGAGTAGACATAAAGGAACATAGTAACCTCTAAGAAGTAACTAGAACCTTAAATTTATATTATTATACCCTGATTATACAATTTGATACATAACATAAAGAAACTTAAGAAGTGTAGAGATAGCAAAATAAAGTTGAAGTAAAGTTCATGAAAGCTTTTATGGCAACGTTGAACAAGGTCTTGCATGAGTCCTGAAGCGTCGCACCAGCAGTAGTAGCAAGAGCAGCCAAAGCAGTGATCAATCAGGTCAGTGATGCATCGTAGAACAAGGCCAATTAAGCATAACGGCGGGCGCCATACATTGGAAGAAATCCGGGCGAAGAAGAGGAAGAGGAAGAAGAAGAGGAGGCACATGAGTACATCATCAATCAGCACAGTTCAGATCACCAGGAAGCACAGAATCATGAAACTCAGCAAACTACACCAGCCGTTCTGGCAACCAACTGGCACTTTCAGCATCCTGTGGGGAAACACAAACATGTCCTCGCCCCCAAATGAGCACTGGATCTGGCCCATTCCATAGTCCTGTGTAAGGATCTTTCCATTTAACCTTTGCATAATCTGTGGAAGTAGAAGGATGCCACAATCTATCCGCTGCAGAGCGACCTTGTGCATCCAAATTTAAGAAATTTAAAATAAAGAGAGTATGATTTAATAGTTTTGTAGTGAATGGGTATACAATTGTCCTGTTTTAATTTTTTCCAGCTGCATCTTAAGAGTGCTATGAACACGTTCAACAATACCCTGACCTTGTGGATTATAAGGAATGCCTGTTTCATGCTGAATAGCAAAGTGCACACAAAACTGGAATTTTCGAGAAGTATACCCAGAACCATTATCTGTTTTTAAAATTTTTGGTGTTCCAAGTACTGAAAAGCATTGAATGCAGTGAGTGATCACATGTTTAGTATTTTCACCAGTAAGAGCAGAAGCAAGTATAAATCCAGAGAATGTATTTATAGTAACATGGACATATTTCAATCGTCCAAATTCAGGAATGTGGGTAACATCCATTTGCCATAATTGATTAGGGACAAGTCCACGAGGGTTGATCCCTACATGTGGTACTTGAGTAACAGTAGGACAGTGAGGACAATGGCGAACAATATCTCGACCAGTCTTCTCTAGAGATACCAAATTGGAGCCGTAAACTATTACTATTTTGATGTGTAGCATGAGCTTGCTGAGCAAGCACCACTTCAGAGAAAGCTACAGTCTTTGTGTGAAGATCAGCCAAATTGTTTCCTTGAGCTCAAATATGAGTCACAAAAAATTTCTTTGTTCTGGTAATAATAGAAGACTGAATTTGTGAGAGCAATTCATGTACTATGCTATTAGAAATTTTTATAATAGGAACGGTTTCCAACAGACATAAAGCAGAAAATACATAAAAACTATCAGTAAAAAGATTAAACTCTTGATCTGGGAATTTTTGAAAAACTAAAGCAACAGCTTGAAGTTCAGCAATTTGCACTGAAGAATGTGGTGTATGCACAACAACATTTTCTCCATTGGCAACATAGGAGGCGCTTCCATTGGAAGAGCCATTGGTGAAAATTAACAAAGCATCTGGCAAAGGAATAGAACTTTTAACCTTAGGAAATACAATGTCTGTAGTTTGAAAAAACTGTAGATGTTTATGTTTGGGATAATGATTATCAATATGTCCTGAATAATTGGCTAAGGCAATTCCCCAAGCATCAGAAGTTTGAAACAGCCAGTCAACTTGAGATTTACTAAAAGGAACTATTATTTTAGCAGGTTCTTTTCCAAAATATTTAGTAGACTCAGATCTAATGAGTTGTATCAATGTAGATACTGATTCAAGATAAGGAAGTAAGACTTTAGCAGGGGACACAGGCAAGTGGATCCATAATAATGGACCATCTTGCCATAAAACAGCAGTTGGAGTATGATTAGTAACAAAAATACTTGTTGTATGATAGCAGATTCAACTTTTTTCTAATGCTTCACGTGCATCTGTAGTAAGTTCTCTCAGGATTCCCCACTAAAATTTAAAACAAGGGGCGTAATTCATGGGTTGTAAGTTTTAAATAGGGATGTAACCAATTAATATCTCCCAATAATTTTTGAAAGTCATTAATGATTTTAAGATTATCCTTTCTGATCTGCATTTTTTTGAGGTTTAATTTCCTTAGGATAGAGAATATGACCCAAATAAAAATAAGGAGGATGTCTCTGAATTTTTTCAGGAGCTATTGAAAAAATTGCTGTAAAGCCTTTTTGATAGAAATAAAAACCTGTAGAAGCAAGTTCTCATTTTTATGAGCTAACAAGATATCACCCATATAATGGATAATGTAGACATGTTCAAAAGACTTACGTACTTCCCGAATGGCCTGAGCCACAAATTTTTGACACAAAGTAGGACTGTTAGACATACCTTGAGGTATGGCACTTTAAAATTTACTGATGGTACACTAAAAGAAAATCTTTTACAGTCCTGTGGTGTTAAAGAAATAGTATAAAAACAATTTCTCAAATCTAAAATAATTTTATAAGTATCTTGAGGTACAGCAGAAGGCAAAGGTCATCCTGGTTGTAGAGCTCCCATAGATTCCATAGTTTCATTAATTTTTCTAAGCTCTTGCAACAACCTCCACTTCCCTGATTTCTTTTTTATGACAAATATTGGAGAGTTCCATGGAGAATTAGAGGGCACAGTATGTCCTGCGTTGAATTGTTCCTGCATTAACTGCTCAACAGCAACTATTTTTTCTACTGAAAGAGGCCACTGAGGCACCCATACAGGGTCTTCAAATTTCCATATAATTGGATCTGCATGAGTTGCAGGCTGCTCAGCGACCTCAACTAAAAATGTCTTAAACTAAGTTTATCAGTTTTCAATGGTGGTTGGGAAGACCTGACTTGATTTTGTGAACTAGCAATACAAACTCCCATTTTATACATAATATCTCGACCCCAAAGATTCACAGGCAGTCCAGAGATTGCAAAAGGAACAAACAGGCCTTCCTTTCCTTCATCATCTTGCCAATGAAGGTCATCACTACTTTGTTCTGGATTCATACTCTGTCCAATACCTTGTAGATGAGTAATAGTAGTCTTCTTAGGCAATGATTTTGGCCATTGTTGCTCTGATATTACAGATACATCTGTACCTGTATCTAGCAAAACTATAAAGCGTTTCCCATTAATTTTTAAAATTAATTCTGGCTGATTTTCATGAATTGACTGAACCTAATATGTATGAGAATCTAAAGCCTCGAGATCCCTTAATCCTTTTTTTGGCATTAATGTTCAGTGGAGAACAGGGGAAGCAAGATTAACCATGCTAAACATTGTCCTTGCTGAATTACAGAAATTTTTGAAGGGGAATGCACCATAATTTTTATTTCTCCCTGAAAATCTGTGTCAATAACTCCAGGAGAAACTAATAATCCTGTCATAGAAACACTATTTTTGCCTAATATTAAACCCATTGATCCTGGAGGCAAAGGGCCAAAAATCCCTGTTGGTAAAGCTTGCATTCCCATTTCTGGAGTTAGCACTGTGTAAATGGAGGAGCTGAGGTCTAATTCTGTGTTGCCTGAGTTTGCTCGGAGAAGTCCTGAAATGGATTGTTTCCCTTCTGAAATGCCCCATAATTTTGTCTCGGGGTCTGAGGCTGGCCCCTTCTCCCGTTTCCCAAAATAGATTTGTCTTGAAGATCTCATGTCATCCTACAATATCTAGGCCAATGTTTACCTTTTTTACAGCGAGGGCACATTGGAGGACCTTTTCCCTGTCTGAAGTTAGAAGTGCCACGAGGGCAACTGTTTTGGGAATGTCCTTGTTGTCCACACTTGAAGCATCTTTTCTTGCTTTGCTGTTGAAATATAATATCTTTCATAGATTTAGCTTGCAAAGCAGCAGCTATAGCTACTCCCTGGGTATAAGAAGGCCCAATGTCAGAACAAAGTCTAATATAATCAAACAGGTTGCCTTTCTTTCTATAAGGCCTGAGTGCAGCTTGACACACAGAGTTAGCATTTTCATAGGCTAGTTGTCTTACCAACAATAAACCTGCATCAGTGTCTCCAATAAGCTTTCTTGTAGCCTGTAAAAGTCTAGACACAAAATCCTGATATGCCTCATCAGGACCTTGTCTAATCTTAGACAGATTCTCAGTCTGCTGTCCAGATGATGGTAGCTTATTCCAAGCCTTTTTTGCTGCAGCACTAGTTTGAGCATATGCAGCGATATTAAAGGTTATTTGTTGTGCTGTTTCTCTATATTGTCCTTTACCTGCAAGCATATCAAAATTTATGGCAATATTTTGAACTCTATTAATGTCTGCAGTAGCCTGACACAATTCTCCAAATTCTGACTTCCACAAAAGATAATGCCCTCCTGACAGACAAGCTCTTGCTATCTGTTTCCAATTGTTAGGAGCCAAAACTTCAGTAGTCAGAGACTCCAACACAGCCTGAGTAAAAGGAGCTGTAGGTCCATACTGTGAACAAGCAGATTTTAATTCTTTTAACTGTTTAAATGGAAAAGGAATATGCGTCCTAATTCTATTTCCCTGTCCATCATCCTGTTCCATAACTGGAAAAAGATTAAATTCTGATATATCATCTCCTTTTGCAGCTGCTTGCTGCACAATCCTTTGTAATGGTGACATTAAAGACAAAGGACAAGAAGGAGTAGAAGAATTGTTTACCATAGCAATGACAGAGTTATCTCCTATCTCAGGAGAATCTAGTCCTGCAATATTAGAAGGAGTAGAGGAATCTTTAAAAAGCAACTTCTTCTCCTTATCATGCATCTGATTTACCTATAAATGTAATTGTTTTTGTATATGCTTTATCTGTTTTTCCATTTCAGGCTGTTCCTTTAGAAATTAGGAAGGAAAAGAATTTTCTTGTAATTTTAAAGCGGAAACCTTTTCAGTTAAATCAAATTCCCCATCATAATTATCTCACAAATCATCAAATAACCTCAAAGTATCATCCATTTCATATTCTGGGGGAGCAGAAGGTTGATTAACACAATTCAGTCCACACTTATCAGATATTCTCTCTTTTTCTGATCATGAATCCAAAGAATCTCGAATTAGAGTCCAGAGACTAAAAGTATCTATCGGAACCTTCTTTGGTCCTTCCTTATCATAATAATCTTGCAGCTCTTTTCCCAATTTTTGCCATATTTCTATATTCAAGGTACCCTGCTCAGGAAACCAAGGATAAATCTTTTCAACAAAATCCATAAAGTCATTTAATTTTTGTGAGCTCGCTTTGGCACCTCTTACCTTAAGGATATTTTTAAGCATATGTACAAAAAGCAAACGGCTATTGCCTTGTCCCATACTTACGCCTTTATGAAAGAAAATGTTAACCTAAAAATAAAAGTAAGAAACAAAATTTGACAAATAAAAATTTTAAGATCTTATAAAAGCTCTAAATAAGGAGGAAAGAGAAAATACTTTCTTCTCTTTGAAGCTTTCAAGAAGTATGCAAAAGCACACTTCAGGGCCTGTCAATATAATGACTTGTAAGCAAAAGAGTTACCTATATACCAAGCATGTGTCCAAGGTAACAATCAACAAACCAATCTTGGACACAAAACCACTCCCTTATTCTAGAAACAGGGTCACTAATGTAACATAAACAAACTTTAAAGCAACAAACTTAGGACAAGTATCTATGGAAACCTAAACAAACTTAACAATTAAATTTAAACAAACAAACTAAAGAAAATCTTTTGAAACTATCTTTAAGAGAAATATACATCACATATATAATTTTATTAATGAAATTTTGGTTACTGGTACCAGTTTATCTAATTAAAAATTTAAATTTAGAAGTGTGCACAGTTTAATTGATGTCTTTAAAATTGATGGATCCAGATTTTATAATTTATAAAACATACAAGACAAATAAAACTCAAATCACAAGCAAAAAAGATATCTTAACAAGTAATCTAATATATACACTATTTTACATTCAATCTATCCATTCCATAATTTGTTACAATTAATATATAAAGAAAAGAATATATACAAAACATATAAGACATACTACAATGCAGCTGCAAAATAAGCCCAATTTCAGCACACAACTCTAAAGTTTGACTAGTTGCCCAAGTCAGAACACAACCAGTTTTTGGCAACCATAAAGGCTGCGATAAGGAGCTCCAATATACACATGCCTACAGGATGCCACCTCATAAGCATACCTGAAGTAGGTGATTGTCCACCGACCTGTCACATCGGGGAGAACACATCACAAACTCATACATCATCACCATTTTCATCAGACAAGGCACCACCAGCCAAACATTTTTATTGAGGGTAGATTAGTAATTTAAGAATTGGTACCAATAGATCTAATTAATAAATTTAGAAAAAGCATGTCGGAAAATAGTACCCAGCGCAGATCTGCAAAAAGTATCAACAACGCGTGGGCACACCAGTTATACATCCCCTATGGGCCCACCAGCCAGAGACGGCTCTGTCAGCCTCCAAGAACAGCCCTCACTACTGCCTCTTATCCCGTTCAACCTACTCTCGCTACGTTTACTGGGGTGGTTACTAGTAGCCGCTAATAACCTAGAAACTGAACATGAGGTGAGTGCACTTACTAAGTCAACCCTACATGCCAATGCAATAACACATGCAGGCTGTTCTCACATCCTTTCACGGGGTCAGGGGTTTAACCTGAGCCTGGAAAATTCTTGAGAACGCAGCTTTTTTTTTTAGAATAATTATAGCTTAAGTCTGAAGAGAAAGGACCAGTTTCTTTCCAGAGTCAGCTTCCCACTTTCACCTCCTTATTTACATATTACGTTAGTAACGTATCCAAGAAGGCAAACAGAAACAAATTAAGCAGCAGTTCAAATCAGTGAAAAGATTCTAGGAAACAAACAAGAAGCAGCAGGCTAAAAACATTTTAGACAGCAATGTAAAGAGACAGCACACCATGTAATCTTACATTTTTCCCTTTTCCATCATTGTACTTAATCAGTCTTAGAATATGGCCATTATTAATATCCAGTTTTCATTTTCTGTGAAAGAATTTAAAGTTAGCCATCTGTACCATAAATCTTACCAAGCTCTGAGAGCCTGGAACTGGGTAAGGAGGAGGAACTCTGAATAAATAACTCTGCAAACTCGCTCAAAGACTTTATGTCTCAACTCCTCAGGAATTTTATAAAGATTAATCACCCTCCTAGATGTACGAAAAAGCTGGCTTGGAAACAATCTCCATGGACTGCATTCAGCAAATGCTCTAACAAGTATCCAAACAGTCCAGAAGTCAAGAGACATTGTTTCTCCTGTCTGAAATGCCTGTTCCACCTTTATTCTGACTCTGTTCCAGACTTTGAAAGCTAAAGGTCTCATATCAGGAAATCATGAACCAAACTTTATAACTGTCTGTATACAGTTTTCTGTCTGTGCTCTAGAAACTTGTAAACCCTAACTATGAAAAATATACAGAAGTAGAGAAGGACAAAGAAAATACTTATTTAACAAAATCATACTTACCTGTTTCTTTATACTTACTTGAGTCAGGGGTCTTTTGAGCCCCCATGGTCCCACGTTAGGCGCCATTTGTTGGACGACCCCCAAGCCACCAGGCTTGGAGCTCCAACAAGATAGGAATCAAGACAAGAGTCTTGATGTTATTGTGTTAACTTGATTTAAAGATAGACACTTCACAATCAAGCAAGCGTAAGCACAATCATAAAATTAATCTAATGCTGTGAGTTACATAGAGCTTACATAAGAACCATATCTGGAGTAACCAAGGAATCACTAAAGATACATTACTAACAGAAAGTAACTAAGGATGCAGCACGTAACTGATCACGTCAGCATCACCCGATACTCACACGATAGTTACAGATACATAATATTTACAATCTCTGGGACACAATGTGTATTGCCCATGATCACTCTTGACAACTACTAGAATTTATTATTTTTATATAAAAACCAAGTAAACAGTGGTGAGAGACTCCAGTGCCCTTAAAATGAAACAAAACTCTTTAGTTATGTTTTCAAGATAAACAATTAATCAAGAAGGCATAGCCTGTCAACTCAAACCACTGAAGGAAAGAGCAGAGAAGCTATTAAAGTGGCAGTCTTATTTTGTTCTATGCTTAAGTCAAGCATGGCTCCCAACAGGATAGTTAGGACAGTGAGGAAATTTAAGACAGTTAGGGAAGATAGGACAGTTAGGACAGTGTGTTGGTTGAGGGTATTAGGTCAGTTATGGTCAGTTAGGACAGTTAGGACTGTTAGGACAGTTAGGACAGTTAAGACATTATGTTGATTCAGGGCATTAGGTCAGTTATGGTTAGATATGTCAGTTAGGACTGTTAGGATAGTTAGGACATTTAGGAGCATTAAGACAGTTAGGACAATGTGTTGACTCAGCATATTAGGTCAGTTATGGTGAGTTAGGACAGTTAGGACAGTTAGGACAGTGTGTTGGTTGAGGGTATTAGGTCAATTATGGTCAGTTAGGACAGTTAGGACTGTTAAGACAGTTAGGAACATTGGGACAGTTAGGACAGTTAGGAGTGTTAGGACAGTTAGGAAAGTGTGTTGGTTGAGGGTATTAGGTCAGTTACAGTCAGTTAGAACAGTTAGGATAATTAGGACAGTTAGGAAAGTTAGGACAGATAGGACAGTTAGAACAGTATGTTGCTTGAAGGTATTAGGTCAGTTATGGTCAGTTAGGATAGTTAGGATGGTTAGGACAGTTAGGACAGTTAGGACATTGTGTTGATTCAGGGCATTAGGTCAGTTATAGTTAGTTATGTCAGTTAGGACTGTTAGGACAGTTAGGACAGTTAGAACAGGTAGGACAGTTAAGAGCATTAGGACAGTTAGGACAGTGTGTTGACTCAGGGTGTTAGGTCAGTTACGGTCAGTTAGGACATAGAGTACAGTTAAGACACTTAGGACTGTTAGTACAGTTAGGATAGTTAAGACAGTGTGTTGGTAGAGGGTATTAGGTGAGTTAAGGTCAGTTAGGACAGTTAGTACTGTTAGGACAGTTAGGACAGTTAGGAAAGTTAGGACAGTTAGGACAGTGTGTTGAGTCAGGATGTTAGGTCAGTTACAGTCAGTTATGACAGTGTGTTGGGTCAGTGTGTTAGTTCAGTTACCATCAGTTAGGACAGCTAGGACAGTTAGTAGGCTTAGGACAGTTAGGACAGTTAGGAGCATTAGGACATTTAAGACAGTGTGTTGACTCAGGATGTTAGGACAGTTATGGTCAGTTAGGACAGTTAGAACAGTTAGGACAGTGTGTTGGTTGAGGGTATTAGTTCAGTTACGGTCAGTTAGGACAGTTAGGACTATTAGGACCATTAGGACAAATTAGGAAAGTTAGGACAGTTAGGATAGTTAAGACAGTGTGTTGGGTCAGGATGTTAGATCGGTTACCGTCAGGACACTGTGTTGGGTCAGGGTGTTTGTCAGTTATGGTCTGTTAGGAAAGTGTGTTGGGTCAGAGTGTTAAGTCACTTACCATCAGTTAGGACAGTTAGAAGCGTTAGGACATTTAAGAGAGTGTATTGACTCAGGATATTAGGTTACTTACGGTCAGTTAGGACAGTTAGGACTGTTAGGACAGTTAGGAAAGTTAGGACATATAGGACAGTTAGGATAGTGTATTGGGTCAGGATGTTAGGTCAGTTACCATCAGTTAGAAGAGTGTGTTGCGTCATGGTGTTATGTCAGTTACTGTTTGTTACGACAATGTGTTGGGTCAAGGTGTTAGGTCAGTTATCATTAGTTAGGGCAGTTAGGAGAGTTAAGAAAGTTAGAACAGTTAGGACATTTAGGACAGTGTGTTGGTTGAGGGTGTTAGGTCATTTACGGTCAGTTAGGATAGTTAAGACAGGACAGCTAAGAGCATTAGGACATTTAAGACAGTGTGTTGATTCATGGTGTTAGGTCGGTTACAGTCAGGATAGTTAGGACAGTTAGGAGTGTTGTGAGCATTAGGCAAGTTAGGACACTGTGTGGACTCACTATGTTAGGTCAGTTACGGTCTGTTAGGACAGTTAGGACAGTTAAGACAGGACAGTTAGGAGCGTTAGGACAGGTAGGACATTTAGGACAGTTAGGACAGTTAGGAGCATTAGGACAGGTAGGACAGTGTGTTGACTAAAGGTGTTAGGTCAGTTACAGTCAGTTAGGACACTTAGGACAGTTACGACAATGTGTTGGTTGAGAGTATTAGGTCAGTTACGGTGAGTTAGGTAAGACTGTTAGGACAGTTAGGACAGTTAAGACAGTCAGTGGGTCGGGTCAGGATGTTAGGTAATTTACCATCAGTTAGGACAGTGTGTTGGGTCAGGGTGTTAGGTCAGTTAAGGTGAATTAGGACAGTGTGTTGGGTCAGGGTGTTAGGTCAGTTACGGTCAGTTAGGACAGTTAGGGCAGTTAGGAGTGTCAGGACAGTTAGGACAGTATGTTGACTGAGGGTGTTAGGTCAGTTATGGTCAGTTAGGTCAGTTAGGACTGTTAGGACAGTAAGGACAATTAGGACAGTGTGTTGGTTGAGGGTATTAGTTCAGTTACGGTCAGTTAGGACAGTTAGGACTGTTAGGACCGTTAGGACAGTTACGACAGTTAGGATAGTTAAGACAGTGTGTTGGGTCAGGATGTTATGTCAGTTGCCGTCATTTAGGACAGTTAGGATGGTTAAGACAGGAATATTAGGACATTTAAGACAGTGTGTTGAATCAGGATGTTAGGTCAGTTACGGTGAGTTAGGACAGTTAGGACAGTTAAGACAGTTAGGACAGTGTATTGGTTGAGGGTATTAGGTCAGCTACAGTCAGGATAGTTAGGACTGTTAGGACACTTAGGAAAGTTAGGACACATAGGACAGTTAGAACCGTGTATTATATAGGAGATTATATAGGAACCAGATCTGGAGTAACCAAGAAATAACCAAGGAATCACTAAGGATACATTACTAACAGAAAGTAACTAAGGACGCAGCACGTAACTGCATCACATCACCATCACCTGATACTCACATGATAGTTACAGATACATAATATTTACAGTCTCTGGGATACAATGTCTATTCCCCATGATCACTCTTGACAACTACTAAAATTGAGGTCAGTTACTGTCAGTTAGGGAAGTTAAGACAGTTAGGACACTTAGGACAGTTAGAACATTTAGGACAGTTAGAACAGGTAGGACAGTTATTATAGTTAGGACAGTTAGGACACTTACGACAATTAGCATAGTTAGGACAGTTAGAACAGGTAGGATA